AAGTACGCACTTACTTACGTACCCAAACCCCTAAACCGTTTACGTTCGTACAACTACTACCTACCTACTGTGTAGTAGTAATACTACACACATATGTAGTAGTACTCTCTCTCTCTCTCTCTCTCTCTCTCTCCCAAGGACAGGTATGCCACTCTCTGTCTCATTCTCTTCTCTTATGTTTTATTTTTCTATCTTACGATTTTAAATAATAATAGTAGAGGGGGCCCCCATGCCTTAGCCATTGTTAACCCTAAGCTCCCTATCCCATTGTGCTTCATGCTCCCATGTTTTGAGTAAGGGTTTGCCTAGGCTTTCCATTCAATAGAACTCAGTGATAGACCAAGATCCTATGCACCAATGTTGAAAGAGACCCAATGTGGGGTATACAAAGTCCTTGGAGGTAATCCTTGGCAGTTATTCTGGCTTTTCATCTTTTTCATGCTTTCTTGTTCTCAAATCTTCTTGGATGTAATTATGTTCTATGCAATCAAAAAAGTTTTGTGTGTGGCAAGCAAGTAAGAATCCTCTTCTTTCTTTATTATCTTTACATCCGTTCAATGTAATTGAAGAAGTTTTGTGTGTAACAAGCAAGTGAGAATCATCTTCTTTCTTTATTTTCTTTACTCCCTTTGAATCAAAATTTGTAACTCTTTATTTTTTAAAAAATTTGTTAACTTAAAAAGTTGTAATGCTTGGACACATGTAAGTGTTCCAGCCGGTATAATAAAAGAAAAAGAGGAAAATTTTAAACTACACATATTTGGCTAGATCACATAGTCCACCTTTCATTGGTATCAGAGCCAGATTTCTTACTACCACATTTCCTTTTATTTTCAGTCGTTTTCGTGTATTTTTTAGAAAAGAAGGATGCTAGCCAAGAATTTTATAGCTGAAATCTTGAAAACCAAAAGATCTGATGGAACAAATTATTCCTTGTGGAAGTGTAAGATTGGCTATGTGTTCTATGAGGAAGGTCTACATAAATTCCTCACTGAGAATCCACCCCCAGAGCTTAGAGGGAATGCATCCCAGGCCACAAGGGATACATATGCACAATGGGAGTGCAAAAAACATGCTCACTGGACATATCCTCCTTGTGGTTATGCACAACTCCCACACTTCTAAGTATGAAACCCTAAAAACCGCTAAGGTCATGCAAGAGAAATTCAAGAAAAAATTTGTTGATCCCTTTCTTGTGAGGAAGACTCTAGCTATGACGAAGTAAAATGACTTGAAGATGGCAAAAGGAGGAAAGATCGCAGAGCACGTGCATATCTTTCAAGCCTTGATTTGTGAATTGGAGGCAATCAACATGAAGCCCATTGAGCCCATGCAAGTGGTTCACCTCTTGAACACTCTCCCCTCCTCATGGGAGGTGTTTGTGTCATCTCTTGCTGCTCGTGAGAGTGCTCCAAAGTTGGAGGAACTCGTGACCCTGCTAAAAGCCGAAGAAGAGAGGAAGAATGCTTGTGAAGCATCGACACCCAAGACTCAATGCACATGGTAAACTAATTTCAAAACAAATAAGGGAAAGGGAGAATATAATAATAACAAGAAAAATGATGAAAAGAAAAGGGGAGAGAAAATATCTGAAAATAACAAACCCAGGAAAGTAAAGAGGTAATGTTATAATTGCAGGAAAGTCAATCATATTGCTAAGTTCTGCAAGTTTAATAAGGATAATGCAAGGGAAAATAGGGAACACGCCTGTGTGCTATTCAAGAGCACGCTAGCTGATCCCAAGGGTGCATCTTGGTATTTTGACTTTGGTCTACAACTCACGTGTCAATCACAAAGATGGACACCGCAATTTTAAACCTATTGGTCACGGCAAGCAACATCTTTATATGGGAGGAAACCAAAAGACTGAAAACTTATGTACTTAAAATGAAGAATGGAAAAACTAGGGTCCTAAAACAAACACTTTATGCTCCAGAAATGAGAAAGTGTTTGGTTTCGGTGACTAAGTTAGCTAAGGTTAGGTATGTCACCATCTTCTCTGCTAATAAGATGATGGTCAAAAGTTATGGTGAAATTGTTATGACCGATCTTCTCAAGGATGGCCTGTTTTCTATTGAAATGAAAGAACAACTTGCTTATGCCTCGTCTTCCACTTATGATAATGATGCTTACTTATGGCACATGATATTAGGGCACATTAATTACAAAATAATGGAGAGATTAAAGATACATGGTCTTTTAGAAAATTATGATGGCGGCTTAAACCAAGTCTATGAATCACTTGTGTTAGGAAAAATGGCAAAGAAATCGATCATAAAAGCGCAAAGAGCATCTAACGTTTTAGAAATCATCCATAGTGACATATGTGGCCCCATGAATGTGGCAACAAAGTGCCACAATAAATTCTTCATCACATTTGTTGATGACCACTCGCGATATGGCCATATTTAACTATTACACTCAGCGTTCAAAGTCCTAGACTGTTTCAAAGAATATAAGGCTGAGGTAGAAAGCCAAACAAATCAAAAGATAAAAATCCTAAGGACAGATAGGGGCGGAGAGTATTCCTCACAACTCTTTAGAGATATGTGTGTAGAGCATGGCATAATAAACCAATATATACAATGCCTTATACATCCGACCAAAATGGTGTAGCCGAGAGACGGAATAGGACCTTGGTAGAGATGGTGAGAAGTATAATGGGATATGCAAAGCTCTCCCTTGATTTCTAGGGAGAAGCAATATTGGAGGCAAGATACATTCACAACCGCACACCTACTAAGGCTGCTCCTCTAACACATCACGAGATATTTACTGGTCGTGCTCCGTCGCTTGAGCATCTAAGAGTGTGGGGGTGTTCTGCTCATGGCTTGACTCCATACTTTTATTATTACTAAACTTGCATTCCATCTACTTTGTCTTAGTCCGGCTAATTCTAAAACCTTCAGATTCTAAAGCATCCCTCCAAAGTTCTTTGTGTTGACGTCGCTTCGGGTCTCATCAATCAAAATTATATTATCCGCAAACAACATACACCACAGTACCTCATCTTGTAGGTGCCTTGATAAGTCGTCCAAAACTAAGACAAAGAGGTATGGGCCCAATGCTGAACCCTGATGTAGACCTATAGTCACTGAAAACTCGCAAGAATCTCCACTAGTTGTTCGTTAGCTCTCCCTTTTACATATCTCCCACCAAATCAATATAGTATCTGGAGACTCGTTTCTTTTCCAACACTTAGCAAATTAAATCTCAAGGTACTCCATCTTAGGCTTTCTCTAGATCAATAAAGACTACGTGAAGTTCCTTTCACTTTGTCCTAAACTTCTCAATCAGTTGCTTAAGTAAGAAAATAATCAAAATTGTTGACCTCCCTGACATAAAACTGAATTAGTTTTGTGATACACTCATTTCATGCCTTAGTCGTTGCTCAATCACTCTATCCCACAACTTCATAGTATGGCTTATTAGTTTGATCCCTCAATAGTTTGTACAATTTTGTATGTCTCCTTTGTTCTTCTAAAATAGGTATCACAGCACTTTTCCTCCATTCGTCTAACATTTTTTTTGTTCTTAACAATTTGGTCAGCCAGTTAATGCTAATCTCCTCCATGCACTTACAAACCTGTATCAGATACCATCTAGTCCTAAAGGCTTTCTTTCACTTTCGATATCTCAATCTTATGAATGTATCTATGACCTCCACCCTTATTTATGCTGATGGTTCCTTCTACAACTATGTTTAACTAATAGGAGCCTATCACCTACTCTCTTGACATTAACTATTTTATCTTTTAAATCTTTGTCGATTATTATACCTACATCATGTATATTATTATTCTTTCCTATATACCAAAGTTTATACCCATCTATTTCCGTAGCTTTTTCCCCTTTCCACTTAGTTTCCTACAGACAAGCTATGTGTACTTTCATTTATCTCATTGTATCCACTAACTTCACACTCTTACCTGTACGTGTTCCTACATTCCATATGGCTAGATGAATCCTATTCTCTTGGACTAGCTTCTTTACCTGCCCTCATCCAAAGTGTCGCAGAAACCCTTGCCTATTTTTCATCTCAACTGGGTGGCGCTCCAGCGCGTCACTTCTAGGGAATGCCCAAACTAACCCTTGCTTATTTCTCATTGTACCCGGGTTCCAATACAACGTGTTGCTTTCAAGGAACTCTTAACATAAACAAATAATATAGATTCAGAATTCATAAAAAGTTTTGGCAAGGTTTTACATTAGCTGCCTACCTAGTACAACCCATCTCCTTTACCCAGGCTTGAGACAGGTTAAGGGAAAGTTTAAGGTCCTCACCCTTCTTAGACCAAGTGTGACTCTCTCTTGTAATCTTTAAATCTCTTTGTATGTGTTCCTAATGCTTAAAAAACACATTGTTAAACTGATGTTACATGCACTTTTAGACAAAATTTAAACAAAAAAATAATATGTTATTTCTCTCATTAATTGTACTCACTTTCTTTTTCACTAAGAAAAAAACACATTCAAAATAATATCACCTCAACTAAGTAACATATTGAAAATAAATTTAGGAATTCTCGCACAACTTGCATTTTTTGCTAGTGTTAGAACTTGTTGGCAACTTACGAAATAGATTTGGCTTTGGTTTGATTCCAGGTATTAGAACATTGGACATCACAAATAAAGTCTCATTTTCAAGTATATACTATATACATAACAAAACAAAACTCATTTTCAGGTATGTATAAGGTATTATTTTTATGTTTTGTAAACACAAACACGAATTCCCTAGAGGACTAGAGAAACATTCTATTATTTAAAATTTATTATTAGTTAACATATCATCGGTGTCTAAGAGCTCTATGGGTGTCTACAAACTATACTTATCATTAGTCTTAAAATCCGAGAACCCAAAATAAATATCTTGTTTTATTAATTTTCATTATTAATAAATTAAATACTTTTACTTTCTTCATTCAACCTAGAACCTAAGTGAACCTCAAATCCAGTTTTATGGTCAATAGACCTTGATTCCAATAATTGTGGGAACAGTGATTAAGGCCACTCAACAAGTCGATTTCAAAACCAAGGGAACCTTTGTTTAGGTCTTTAGGACCGTTGAGGACCTTGATTGCAATACTAGGGGAATCCTGGCTAAACGTACTCAATAGATCGGCTTCAATACTAAGGGATTCTTGGTTAACTATACTCTAGAACCTCCAACGATTTGCCCTATGAAACTTGTTTCTTGATGATTTCTGACACGGTTCCAAGTGGTTAGGGTGCGCAATTTGAAAAAAGGTAGGAATCTTGATTCCAAATTGGTTGGAGCACGATTAGCAAAAAGTGGGAATCACGATTCCTCCAATACAAGTTGTACAGATGGCGCTTCCTACCATAGGAATCTTCTACTTGCACGCAATTTCACACTTCAATTCCTAATAGGCTTCCAAATCTCCTCCAACAACTCTGTGAGAAACCAGCTTTCTTGAAGAAATTGATGACCCTAAACAATGGAAGATTCATTATGAAAAGAGGCGTCACTTTTATTGTTGGAAAAGGTAGAAATGTGAGTTGCGCACTTGGCAAGTTTAAACGTTATGCAATCAAACATGATATTACCATTACAAGCAAACCTATATGACACTCATAGCTCATACCAGTGTACAGAAACTCCATCACAATCTAGTTCTCATGCCAAAAGAAACTAAGTTGACACATAATTGACATTTATAATGAAAAGATATCATGTTGGGATAACTTTTTCAATTTCTAAAATAACTATACCAGAATCTCTAGCCAATCGAATTGCAGGTCCTATGGTATACTGTTAATGTGTTTCTCTCTTATAGCCCGGTCTCAAGTTCAAACCTTGATGCCGTCACAAAACCATTTTACCTATATTTAAAAAGCTAAGTTTCTTTGAAAACTAAAAAAGTCAAGAGAGTTCACTCAGTTTTGGCTCTGTCTGAGTCAGGGATTGAGTTCAAGTTGTTCGGACCAATTCATATATTCCAATGATACCAAATACATATAACTGTGAATGTAAAGGCACTGAAGTCCAAGTTGTCATGAAAGATAGATAAAGTGAAGCTAAGAAAATCTATGCGAAGATACAAATCAAATAATACACTACGATGAACTAAGCATTAGAAAAAGAATTATTCAACTGGCAATTTGGAGATTTGGTTCCAATCCAAAAGGCACTAACCAGATGGTGATAATCGAAGATTCATTGATAGGGGATGCTCCTCTTCTTGTATCACCTTTTCTCTTGCTTAATACAGTTAACATTTTTGAAAGAAAAAGATCATCAAAGATTCATTCAAGGTTTTCGGGATGAAGTTTTGTATCCTTTATTAAGAGAAAGGCCTCCATTGACAACTTTTAATAATGTTTGAGTGGCCTATCACTTTCATAATACCATTTATGTGCTACTAGGAGCCTGTTTATTGCAACTCATTAAAAATTGCAGATTATATTGATGAAAATGCTTTTACACTGATATTTTAATATCCTGTGATAACTTAAATAGCTGTTAAGCTTCTCTGCTGGAAGAACTCAAGAAGAAATTTCCAGTGGGTTCATTGCTCCAGCGATTCTGTTTCTAACAACACTACCAAATCATTCCTTAACTACTGAACCAGTAAGACAAAAATGTAAGTCCAATTCTTGAAACACGGTTTAGCAATAAACCGAAACTTATTCATAGTGGTAAGTTACCCATCAAATTTGTCAAGTAGAAAAAAATACTAAACTATTGTAGCATGAGTGGTAAACAAGGTGAAATATACTCATTGCATGTGAGATAATTCATCAGAATGTGAAGAATCAAAATCCATCTTCAAGTCTCCAGTAAAATGAAATGCCAACACAGCTACATATGCATATCGTTCCGTTTTCTTTTTTGTGGTTTAATATGGAACCATTTATTGAAAGAGTATGTTGAATACTACATTGAAGTGTTATCCTTCACACCTTTGATGAAAGCTTCATTTTGTCAAGAGCATTTGCAATTGCTGAAAGTCTAGAATTGCATTCCGGGTGAGATTCCTGCAGAAATCCATCCACCATAACATGTAGATTTCCAAAGGCAAACGGAGTAGTAAAACCAAAAACTTGTAAGAATTCATTCGTAGATATACCTCAATTTCCTACCTAAAATTCCCAACATCCTAAAGAGATGGTAAAACAATCAAAGCTGTGCGCACCAAGATCATGAAAAATATTAATTTGCAAAGTCCACAAGCATGGACAAAATTGTCTCCCTCCCCCACCCCCAATCCCCTAGACAAAAAAAAACACATTAGAACCATTTTACATGGTTTAAAAATCAAAAATTTCCAACTTCTGATTTTCCTCTTGAATCCAAAGCTTTTGAAAAAATTAAGAGATTATTTTGGCTATCCCTTGAGATTCTTTTAGGCATTAATAGGATGGTATTTGGGAAGATTCACCAACTAATCAATGGTTTTCAAGGGCTAAGTGGAAATCAATGGTTTTCAAGGGCTAAGTGGAAATCAATGGTTTTCAAGGGCTAAGTGGAAATCAATGGTTTTCAAGGGCTAAGTGGAAATATGCCGAACCCAAAAACCATAAGAGTCAAAATTGCGTCATTTGTTTCTTGAGAATTGACTATCTTCTTTCTCATATGTCATAAACTTTTGGTCATTACCTCTTTGGAGTTTAAACGTTTGGATATTTTACTTGACGGAATGGATTGCTTGATTTACATATTAATTGCATTAGACATTTAAACCATTAAATGTTAGAAGTTAAAACAACAAACTCTATTACTCTTTATTAAGCTATCAGAAGGCTCAGAGTCTCAAACAGCTAATATATTGGAGATGATGAATAAATTAAAGGGTTATGTTAGGGCACTCAAACATATGAGTATTTATTTAAGGTACTCAACATTTTTTAACACTTGATACCCTTACCCTACTATGCAGTAACTTTTTTGTTTAGGAGCATTTAAAGTAATTAATCAGTGGTAAAGTAGAAATTGTTGATAGAAAGAGAATCATTTTATTAACTATAGTGGATGATGACATCATCCACATGAGGTGTAACATCACTCACATGGATCAATGATTGCTTCTTAACCACTAGTAAAATGTCACTTGTTTCTTATAGAAATATCTATCCTAACCCTCCCAATGACGAAAAATGTTGTAACTTAAAAAAATTTGTATTACATGACAAAGGGCAATGAATCTCCAAAAATATTGAGTACATTAAGAAAATACTCATATGTTTGAGCACCCTAACAAAACCCCAAATTAAAATACCCACTATCATTTAAATCACATTTAAATTTTTCAATGTATTATTATAATTTTTAAGATTTTTAAATTTTTTAAATTTATCGACTCATCACCACATCAAACTCCCAACTACACTGGGTCCACATCCCGCATTTCAAACCATTGCATTGATTGTATCGCCATATCGGACTCCCGACTGCATTGGGTTTCAAAAAATTGCATGAGACTCCCCAAAAAACAACACGGGGCATAAATGCACCAAAGGATGAAAAAGCTTTTTTTTTTTGGGTAATTAAGGATGAAAAACATTGATTTATATTAGATGCATCTGCATTGGTTAAAATATGGGAAGTCTCTCCACATGCACGTCACATTCTAATCTAGAATGATTATAATCACATGAGAATTACAAATCATCTTATCAAAGAAAACAACGGAAAGTTACTAATCATGGAATTAGTATGCATTATCTTAAATCATATAAAGGAGAAAGTAGCAAAGTTGCTGGCATAAGCTGATAATGCTATGTCCGAACAAAGTAAGATGAGAAAACAAAGGGACTACCATGAAGCATTTTCAAAGATGCCAAACTGTATCAAATAAAAATTCATTTTACCTGGTTATGGCCCAAGGCAGGTGCCAAACAGTACAGAACTTGTGCATCAACTAACTTAATTGCAGAAGAAAAAGAGGCATTATTTGTAGAACTGCTTGAGCATACAGTCAAACTCTTGATCAATGCAAGGTGTATCCTTTTGGATCTCTGAAACTTTAAGAACCGTACCCCAAATACAGAGTATTTATTTCCTAGAACATAGGAGAAATAAGTATTTAGTTCACAAGCATTTGACCCCATCAAAAAACAAAGATGACCTATGAAATTCAAACATCATCTCACAGAACTACATTAAACCACCAAGAAGACCTACACTAGCCAATAGAAATTCTTAAACTGATGTTTTATCCAAGTGAGACAACTTTTACTTGAGAGAAATGCTTCTTCAGTATATACTCTATAGAACTACTTGAGAATCAAAATTCGAACGTTTATGTCAATAATGCAGCATGCTTCAGACTGCACTTGCATAACGAGGATTCAACAACTAGCATGTTGACTTTGACACCCTCGGCTCAAATTTTGGAATATACCAAACAAGCATTAAACAGCAAACAAAAGTACAGAAACATTTTTCAAATGAAAGCTGCAATAAAACAAAGGCTCTCCTGCCATTTATTAAAGTTGGGTTTTTGTTTTAGGATTGAGTTGAAGAGGAAATATTATTACGTACCTGCACAGAGAGAGGAGGTTACAAGAAGCATCTTGATCAGCTCCTTTTCCTAAAGCTCTGTTAGTTACACATATACTTTTATTCTTTTCTGTTCTAGTTTCAAATTTGAAACAAGGGGAGAATGGAATGAGAATTCCTTAAAACAGCCTGCAATGAACGAGAAATGTGAGAGGAGGAGACAGTTAGCTACCAGATAATAATATGCGTATATAAATTTGGTGGCCCCGTGGCACCAAATGTTATATTTATTGATTGAGTAATGATCCTAGGACCTCCCCATCCATGTGTGCACGAAGGATCACCATTAAGAGGTGGTATGGATCTTTAGAAAAGTTATCACATTGGTATCGGACTTGACTTTTCTATAGATATGTACCGAATTTAATGGTGATCGTTTGAGGTCCTACACACAAATATAAAAAAGAGTTTTATAGGATCATTTTTCATTTTGTTTTTATTGGGAAAGCGTCACTAAAATCATCAAATTATCTACGGATATTATAGTTTTTGTTATTACATGAGAAATGATCTAACCCGCCCCCACCCATGCGTATAGGACCCTAAAGGATCACCATTAAATTTGACACGTATATGTAGAAAAGTCAAGTCTCACACTCATGTGATAACTTTTTTAGAGATTTGTACCAATTTTAATGGTGATTCATTGGGGTCCTACACACATGGGTGGAGGAGAGTCTTATAGGATCATTACTCTTTTGAAAATACCTAAAACTTTATGGTATAACTCAGATGTCCGTTTTTTCAATTTCATAATAATTTTTTGTAAAAAAAAAAGAAACTGCATATTTTCAGTTTTTGAAAAACCGAATTTTTTGAGTTAGTGCTCTCTAACTCATCATGTTAAAATAATTTTAATAATAATAATCATAATCGTCAAATTATCTACGGATTTTATATTTTTCGTTATTATGAAAATACCTAAAACTTTCTATTATCAGGCAGATGTCCGATTTTTCAACTTCATGACATTTTTTGTAAAAAAAAATGAAAAAGAACATTTTCGATTTTTGAAAAACCAAATTTTTTTAATTAGTGCTTTGTAACTCATCGTGTTAAAAAAATAATAGTAATAATAAAATAAGGTAAATATATAATACAATACCTACCTAACTTCTATCATTGTTACTCAAATAATGTTTCGGTAAGAGCATATGGATTTCTTCAAGAGGTTTTTAGTATCCTGACCATTCCATGAAAGTTTTTTTTTTCTTTTTAAGAAACTAAAAAACATCTATTTCAATTAAAAAATTAGATTGAGCATGACGGGATTTGAACCCTTGACATGAAAGTGTAAAGGTATGCATGATAACCGAAAAGCCATACCTATTCTATGATTGGGGCTTTTTTTAATTAAAAAAAAAGAATCTTTTTGTATTAAAAAAAGATTGTGCATATGGGGGGACTCAAACCCTTGATGAAAAGTGTACAGGCATGCATGATAACCAAAAAACCAATTCAACCCCAAGTTTAGATATATGGGCATACATAATATTAGTATTTAAAAAGTTTGGTTTTTGAAATTCGGCTTTTGAACAATCGAAAATTAAAAAAAAACTGGGTTTTTCAAAAACTGAAAATGGGCAATTTCGTCTTTTTTGTTAAAAAAAAAAAAAAGTGTTATGAAGTTGAAAAAATGAACATCTGTGTAATAAAGAATAACAAAAAGTATAACGGATATTTATGTAATTTTCCCAATTAACTATATAAAAAATTAATGAAGTGGAAAAACTCGGTGGTTTAAAACCCGAGCCAATGAACCAGCTAGGAAACTAGTCCAGAAAGATGCATATGGAACGAGAAGATCGAGACAAGAAGAAGAAACATTAAAGAGGAGTTAACAAGTTATCATCTTTTTTTTCTTTTTTTTGACAAATATTTATTTTTAAGGACATAATTTTTTTTATTTTTTAAAGAAAATTGTTTCATGCGAGCTGGACTGCATTTCTACACTATGCGGTCCAAAAGTATAAAGCATACATCCTCTCCTTCAAATATCCGCTCTCCTCCCCACCTTGGTCTATCCCTCCCCGATCCTACCACCGTGCCTCTGGCTTCAGACGCTCCATCCTACACTCTCTCCCCCTCTTCAAAGAGCGTATTCGCTTCACCCCCAAGGACGGGTCAAGCATATGCTTCTGGTTAAACGCCTGGCTTATCTCCTCTTCTCTCTCCACTTGTTTCCCATCCCTTTTCCGCCTAGCCCATGATCCTTCTGCTTCTATTCTCTCCCTATTTCCCCTTGATAGCAGACTTAGGATTTGGAATCTTAACTTCCGTCGCACCTTGCGCAACCCTGAGTTGCCCGCCTTCCAGGAGCTCCCCCTCCTTATTGCTTCTTTCCCTCCGCTTAGGAGGGGTGAAAACTGGATAGTTTGGATTGCCTCGTCTTTGGGAAAGTTTTATGTGGCTCCCTATATCGCTCTTCTTTCTCCCTTAACCTCGGCACCTCACCTAGCCATTCAGTTATCTCTAAGGCTTGGTCCACCATCATCCCACCTAGAATATAGTTCTTTATGTGGCTTGCACGGCCGACCTCCTCCAAAAGAGAGGCCTATCAATCCCTAATAGATGCATCATGTGCGAGAAGCCGAAGAGACCAACTTCCATCTCTTCCTCCATTGCCCTATTGTTGTGGCTCTTTGGCAATCCAACCTATCTCTCTTTGGTTGGTCTTGGGTTACGCATGCAAACATCCCTAGTCTCATCCCCTCTTCGTCATCTCTTCCATGGTTGAAAGCCGGGGTACTACTTTGAAAGGCAACTCTAGGTGCCACGTTATGGACCATTTGGAAGGAACGAAACAATTGCATTTCCCAAGGGGAGTCTGCCCCTATCCCCAAACTCATTGACTCCATTAGGGGCTCGGTCATTTTCTGGGCCTCTAATCAGAAACTCTTCAAAGGCATACCCGGGTCTACTTTTTTGTCCAATTAGACCCACATTCTCAACCGCCGGTGTGTTAGGGTGCCAAGGTTAGGTCTCTGGAGACTGGTGCCTTCAAACTCAACTTTGACTGGTCTTCATTAGGTAACCTTGGCCCGATATGAGTTGGGGGACTCTTTCGAGACCACCATGGATTACTCCCTCTCCCTATGACTAATAGACTCCTCTGAGGCGGAGGCCACGGCCTTTCTAGAAGTCTTGCAGCGCTTTGATAGGTCTTGGGGTCTCCCTCTCTGGGTGGAAGGGGACTTGCAAAACATCATCTTTTGGGTTTCTAGAGAAGCCCAACCCTTGTGGAGTCTTATGACACATTTTTTATGCTATCTTCAAACTTTGCAGGGATACACCGGTCTTCTAGACTCATATCTGGCTGGAGGCCAACCAGGTCATTGACGCCCTAGAAAAACAGGGAGCAGCCTCTGCTCTTCGTCTAGCCTAATTGTGTTACTGGCGATTCCTAAGGGGCACGCTTCTTCATTTCTTTTTAGCCTTTAGTTGCCTATTGTATCTTTGAGGTTGCGATCGTAGTTTTTGGCTTTCACTTTTTCTCTCGTCACTTCTCTCTACGAGGGAAACACGTTTTGTTTCTCGTTTTTTGCCTTTGTAGCCTACTGTATCTTTGGGCCTGCACCCCATATTTTGTTTTATGTTTTCTTTGGTCGCTCCCCTAAGTGACTTCTTGCTTTGTACTTCTTTAACCATCAATACAATGTTAATAGTATCCCAAAAAAAAAAAAGTATAAAGCATCCATCTTAAAAATGGATGCAAATAGGTGGTCCATCTAAAAACAATGGTAACTAACGGTCCAAATATTTTGCTAATATAATTATTATTTTTAGTTTTCAAATTATTATTATTATTTCATATTCATGATCTCCATGTTAAAGATTATATATACTCTGAGAATTGAGATCAAATTATGTCTAAAATATATATTTATTGTCAAGCCCGTATTTCTACAATATGCATGCTAGCTGCATAGAAACTATGTTCTTCTTGTAATCCTTTAGAATCCCTTTTTTTTGGAAGGCTTATCCTTACCTAGGAAGATTAACTTGGATAGAAAGATAAGCCTTTTCATAAAGATGCATAAATTATTTTTAGGAGGGTTTCTATTTTTTTTAAAGAAGTATGTGAGATAATAGGAATAGAAAGTTTTGGTTTTTCTTTTTAAAGAAAGGTACAATATAAAGAAAGGTACAATAGGATCTTGAGGAGGGGGTTTTTAAAATAACTTCAATATAATGGGAGCTTTACTCTTGTTTTCTTTTATGAAAGAAAGAAAATTAGAAGAGACAGAGAGGGGCTTTATTCTCTTTGTCTTCTCTTTTGGTGGTGTGTGATGGAGGTCACAGCTCTCCTCATTGCACTCTTTTCCCGTTGATTTCTCAATCGACTCTTTTCCTCTCTTGAAACGTTGTATCATTGGTTGTTAGCCACCGGTGATTTTCAATAAAATTTTTGGGTGAGTAAAAAGTGGTAAATTAATGAGGATTTAGGGCCCAACCCATTGGTGAAAATGGAGTTAGAGACCTCATCATGGGGCTCGGCAATACTACCACCAAGGCCCCGTGCCATTCTTGGTGATTTTCAATTGCGTCAATAATCATGTTGCACACTCGCCCATCGTAGGTGCATTGTCTGAGAAAAATATTAGATCGCTACCAACAATCATCTTGGGACTTTTCTAATATAAAGAATCCATCGTGCCAACAACATCTCTCCTTGGTCCATGGGCACATCCTCACCTTGTTCAAGTTGACTAACCTCCTCATTATATACTGGCTCTCCCAAATCAGGATTGCCATCTCTTTTATCACACAAACTTCCTCAACTTCGACAATATTAGCATTTTGCTGGGCAGTTGCTGGGCACTTTTCTGTCGTGTGGCCCATTTTGTTACATATAAAACATTGAACACCTGATTGCTCATTTCTTTAAGCATGCAATCTAGTGTTGTATATATGTAGAACTCCCGATTAATCACCCAAGCTACTTACTCAAGCCAACAACTCCTCGGGTGACATCTGGTAACAAGCAACCTTGTGAATCCTCTTGGTTAAAGAAAATGAGCAATTAGGTGTCCTCAAATCACATGAAAAACTTAAAGGTTCCATATCAGATCTTATAGATCAAGCCATCTGGTGACAACCAACCTTGCGAATCCTCTTGGTGAATCTCATTCGCTTTGCAT